AGACAAGGCGGACCTCCAACAGGAAGGGACCACGGCATGATTTGCTAGTTACTGGTTAACAACGCGTAGATTCCGCATTTTGATTTTGAATTGATATATATTGACGTTGCGTGTTTCGGCTATGACGAGATAAAATATTGTGCTAACTTTAATTCAGTTAAATTCAAACAGCGGAGTTAAACATGTTTATAGAAAATTGAATAACCCGATCGTTAGAGCAGTCCGCTGATCGTACTGGAGCAAACAAAAAACTGCTCGCTGATTCTAATTCAATATTGCACATCTTTAATTGTGGAAAATCTAATATCATCCGCCTTTCTGTGCTGACTATATTATACAGAACTAAGATGTATTCAGAAGTCACAAAGTTATGGGGACTTCATTTCGTCCATGGGAAATCAAATCGTTCTAATAACTCACACGGGATCGTATAAATGCAAGTCTTTTAGACTACGTCATCTTCATTAAAACCACAGGAAGCCCATTGAACACGGGTGATGAACGAGCGTACTAGACACGAGAAACGTAATGAAATGTTAGTTGCACGACTATAGAATATTGATATAAATAATAAGGCGTGGACGGGTGGGGTAGTGGGTTATGCAATTACAGGAATTCAACGGAACTTGGTAGTACAACAGAGCAATGTCCCAATCCGTCAAACATCAACGTCAAAATGTACTGCTAAACATAACATAGCGTATACTGTGATTGTAAGTCGACCATGAATCGTAGCATGTAATACATTATCTTTTATTTATGTGCTCCTGTGAGTGACCTCCGAGTCTAAATGGACGCTATTCGTGTATGTCCAATAACACCTTGATAGATGAACATATAGCTGTGCTAATGTATGTCTCAATAACCCCAGTGTGCAGAGACGGATATAGGATTTAGAGGTTGGGGTTGGGGGGCCTTTACATTGACGTCATTGCCGAATTGAATTATGGTATATATGTGCACACCCCTCTAAATCCGCCACTAATGTGTATTTTTGTGTAAGTCTAAACTCAGTATCTAGTTTTTATTAACGTAAGAGAAAAGAAATTTTCAATTACTCCGCGCCAATCCGATACACATTGACAGAACGAGATTGTAATGCTAATATTAATAATAATAATAATAATAATAATAATAATAATAATAATAATAATAATAATAATAATAATAATAATTAATTAATTAATTAATTACGTCAAAATAAAAATAACATGGGACTCAAGACAGAAAAAAAAATAAAACAGTATAAATGTTGACAAATTGAATAAAAAAATAATAAAAAGTAAAGAATACTGTGTTTTATGTTCATGAGTTTATGTTTATGTTTTATGAGAACCGAAACATTCAACACATTACAGGCCGACAGTGTTACGTTCTTTGTAATTGAACGCGGTTCTTAGAATTATGAATGTCATGAACCTGGCCACTGAAACAAAAAAAAACACGGACCATCCCTTTGCATCGCTATTAAATACCGAATTTACTGCAACCCAGATCTATTTGGAAATGTGCATCCAATCAAAGAGGATATGTGCTGTGAGTATCGAATATCAAGAGATACTTGCCTCCCGTCGCATCACCGCATCAGTACATCGACGGTAATACGGCACGGTTTACATTATGGGCGGGGTAAATATTTGTGTTGGTGCCGGATTTATCAAAATAAAACAACTTCTTACAATTATTTAGATGTAAAACAACTCTTGAACTTGACATTTAAGTGGATGAAATGAGAGTCAAAAAGCTCATTCAACAACGGACCTTTGGAAAATTACATATACATGTACTACAAAGAGTTGGGCATATCTAACTATGACTGTATCCACATGGGATTGTCAACTCGAATCCCCTAGAGCGAAACGAAGTGCAAACTACACAGTTAGTCATCAGCCCACTCAGTCAGGGACACGTACACTTGTTAGTAATAAAGTACATAGATATGCAAGTTGGACACATGGCGTCCGAGCGGTAACAGTGTACAAGCCAAAATGTCTGGCACATGTAAGCACATGAACGATGACCCGACACACTTAGCTGACCAACAAGAACAGAGCAGTTAGAAGCATGGTGAGGCCCGAATAAGGCCTACGGACTACAAAATAACCATATAAATCGTTTATATTATGACACGCGTATCCGACCTTCAGAGAGCTTCAGTTGACAGGTACAGTGCAAGTAATGTACAATGATTGCATCGTGATTGTTTTTGTACTGTGATATGATATGCCCCAGAAACAGTCTCTTATCATTTATGGTGATGGGGCCCGTGGAGGAAAACGGATCTTCATCTACCACGCCTGATAATTATACTTAACACTTTAACCTCACAACACACAAAAACTCGTCATATTGCCATGCCCGGATAATATGCATAGCACGTTTCGTTGGTGTGTGAATTGAACCGGGAGATGAAACACGTCGTATGTATTCCACTCGTTTGAAAAATGACGTTGACATGCTGTCTACGTTGAAATACATCCCTGCATTAGCAAACTGTGTATAACAAAATAAAACTACCCTGGTTGCCATGGCAACCGTATTCCCATTGTAGACTCAATTATTAATAATAATGTAAAATAATTCACTACATTAATCTAGCGGTAATAATATAGATTGCCAGTATTCATAGATGTTCACTTTTAAACTGACAATACCAGCAATGCAAGTCACGCGTCAAGGGGTGTCATGACAATCTGTAACTAAACCACAACGACGTCTTCCTTGTTATAGGATACATAACGACATGAAACATATTATTACCGGGGTATATACATGAAACATATTACTGCCGTGATATATACATGAACTCATAATATTGCCGTGATATATACATGAACTTATATTACTGCCGTGGTATATACATGAACTCATAATATTGCCGTGGTATATACATGAAACATATTACTGCCGTGATATATACATGAAACATATTACTGCCGTGATATATACATGAAACATATTACTGCCGTGGTATATACATGAAACATATTACTGCCGTGATATATACATGAAACATATTACTGCCGTGATATATACATGAAACATATTACTGCCGTGATATATACATGAAACATATTACTGCCGTGGTACATACATGACTCATATTATTGCCGTGGTATATACATGACCTCATATTATTGCCGTGGTATATACATGAACTCATATTATTGCCGTGGTATATACATGAAACATATTACTGCCGTGATATATACATGAAACATATCACTGCCGTGATATATACATGAACACATATTACTGCCGTGGTATATACATGAACTTATATTACTGCGTGGTATATACATGAACTCATATTATTGCCGTGATATATACATGAACACATATTACTGCCGTGGTATATACATGAACACATATTAATCTCATAGTACAAACAAGAACACATATTACTGTCATGGATACATACATGAACACATATTACTGCCGTGGTATATACATGAACTTATATTACTGCGTGGTATATACATGAACTCATATTATTGCCGTGGTATATACATGAAACATATTACTGCCGTGATATATACATGAAACATATTACTGCCTTGATATATACATGAACACATATTACTGCCGTGGTATATACATGAACTTATATTACTGCGTGGTATATACATGAACTCATATTATTGCCGTGATATATACATAAACACATATTACTGCCGTGGTATATACATGAACACATATTACGCTCATAGTACAAACAAGAACTCATATTACTGTCGTGTTACATACATGAACACATATTACTGCCGTGGTATATACATGAACTTATATTACTGCGTGGTATATACATGAACTCATATTATTGCCATGATATATACATGAACACATGTTACTGCCGTGGTATATACATGAACACATATTACTGTAGTGTAAATACATGAACACATATTACTGTCGTGGTACAAACGTGAACACATATTACTGCCGTGATATATACATGAACACATATTACTGCCGTGGTATATACATGAACTTATATTACTGCGTGGTATATACATGAACTCATATCATTGCCGTGATATATACATGAACACATATTACTGCCTTGGTATATACATGAACACATATTACGCTCATAGTACAAACAAGAACACATATTACTGTCGTGGTACATACATGAATACTAATTACTGCAATGTAAATACATCGACACATATTACTGTCGTGGTACATACATGAACACTAATTATTGTAGTGTAAATACATGAACACATATTACTGTCGTGGTACATACGTGAACACATATTACTGTCGAGGTACATACGTGAACACATATTACTGTCGTGGTACATACGTGAACACATATTACTGTCGTGGTACATACGTGAACACATATTACTGTCGAGGTACATACGTGAACACATATTACTGTCGTAGTACATACGTGAACACATATTACTGTCGAGGTACATATGTGAACACATATTACTGTCGAGGTACATACGTGAACACATATTACTGTCGTGGTACATACATGAATACTAATTACTGTAATGTAAATACATCGACACGTATTACTGTCGTGGTACATACATGAACACTAATTACTGTAGTGTAAATACATGAACACATATGACTGTCGTGGTACATACATGCACACATATTACTGTCGTGGTACATACGTGAACACATATTACTGTCGAGGTACATATGTGAACACATATTACTGTCGTGGTACATACATGAACACATATTACTGTCGTGTTAAAAACATGAACACAAATTACTGTCGTGGTACATACATGAACACTAATTACTTTAGTGTAAATACATGAACACGTATTACTGTCGTGGTACATACATGAACACATATTACTGTCGTGGTACATACATGAACACATATTACTGTCGTGGTACATACATGAACACATATTACTGTCGTGTTAAAAACATGAACACAAATTACTGTCGTGGTACATACATGAACACATATATTATGTGGAACATACATGAACTTGAAAATAGATGACCCCATGACCTACCGTTCTTGAGAAACGTTACGATCTGGTCAAAGTATACTTCTTTGGCGTTGAAACTTGTCCCAGGAGCAACTGGCGCGTTTTTATTGAAATCTTCGGCCCACGTTACGTGTACCAAGCCAAGAAATCGTATGTGCATGCCTAAGATGGGAAGGATTAATAAAAAAGGCGGTGAGACACACAACGTCATTTTTGACCTTACAAAACAGCATTCGCTGGTTTTATTGGCATTATTTAATTGCGTTATTATGACAACGAATGGATTAATTTTTCGATAGATGTAAATATAATTGATATCTAATTTTAGAGAAAGGCAATTGTCACATGACATGAATTTTGGAGTTCACGTAAATCTAGCTAATTTATCGAGTATAAATAATCAACCAATCGAAAATAAACGAATACGCAGTGCTGAGCTTTGTGAACATCCCCAGTAACGCATAACCATTGTTCAGTTATAATTAACGACATGTTACGTGCCAAAAATAACGCATTTTATCTTATGCAATCAATTATCAATACATTATTATTTATTGAATTCTCAATTTACGCAATACACTTACAGTAATGTTCATTTTATTTTAGGTCACGTGTCACATAACTGTGCGATAAAAGCGTGGCAATCCATTGTATTTTATTCTATGTCGTATTGTTCTGGTTATTAAATATAATAATTATAAAATTCTCTTAGAATGGAGATAAAAAGACTACAATGACTCCATTACAGTGTGAATGATACATACGTCCCAATATAACGTGCAGCGAATATGTCGCGTCTCTCAGATTCTTGCGACTTTCCTTAATCTCTCACATATGTCCTTATATGTTACAATGTTTAATTCGTTACACTGTAGACGTGTTTTAGATACAGCAATGTCAAACGAAATTGTGTCACTAAGAGTTCATTCAGCCCATATGTTCTACGGCAGCAAACTAAGGAAAGGGGCCCACGAGTCGTTGAAAACATTACGTACCTTTAATGCACGGGATACCTCGATTTAGTTCCAGAATAACGCGACCAGCGACCACATCCCCAGCACTAAATACATCTCGATTGTCATCTAAAGCGATACAGAATCGACGAATGGAATCCATTTTACGATTGCATCAATACTGCTCGGGAAAACAGCGGAAAAGTTATAAGAAACGTTAGCGAGAGAATGCGTCTGTCTTGACCCGGTTATCTCAGGACGCTCCTCGCAGTATGTGCGGAATGTGAATGGATTCTAATGTAGGGGCCCTCACTTCACCATCGCACCATCTTTAATTGGCATTATTACGCAGCCAATAGCATCTGCGCATGTTCACAGCGACCGCTCGTTTCAATTTTGACACCGGACACCACATTCTTTCTCACACTTCTGTTGAAATTAAACTGGTCTAGTAATGCAGTATGCATGCATCCCGCCCCAAGTGAATTATGACTCGTTCTTTATTTTTTTGCTAGAGACACGTGGTATTTTAACAATCATTATCTTTCAAAATTGTATTTAAATTTATGTTACTAGTACTTGTAATTATAATTGATTTGAGATATACAAAAAAATATTTAAAAATAGTCCTAGGCTGAATCTTAATTTTATATAATGCCGTTTCACGCACAACTAGTTTGCACTTGTTGATGAGTTCAGATTAAATGAATAGCGGGCAATTAATATCGCATCGGTTATTCACTCCACTAACATTTTTTCCAGCTCTCTGTTCAGTGTCATAAGAGTCTGTATTATTCGACTGATTGTTCATCTGAACGTCTGACGTAACTATGCAGGTACCCGCGAATAAGTAGTTTATTATTTACTTAATTATAAACATGTACATGCTTAATTATAAGCATGCACCATTATGATGAGTAACGTATTTATAGAGACGTCATGTGATAAATCATCAACTAAATTTTAAATTACTCAGTCAGGGGAGGGCGCTGTCCGTGAATATTACGCTTGTATTCTCTATCGGATATTTTCGCCGCGGTCAATAATTCTTCAGAGGGTCGTTAAAACTGAATATTGACCAATACTGAGGTAATTTAACTATAAGTTAAGATAACGAATAAATTAACACTACATAAATCAAACTTGCAGACGCCATTTTTCTGTTAACAGCTATTTATACTGAAAAACGAAATCGAGGTCACTGGAGTTTCATTATTTTTTATTGAACGCCACGAGACCACGTTCTCTTTAATCAACGTGACAATCTTGCACATTAAGGTATATCTCCTATATCATGGTAGTTTAGCAGTAATAAGGCAGTGTAATAATTGTGTACATTGCCATACTATGTCATACAGTGAAGAAGGGCGCATAAAGCTGTGGATGCTATAAACGTTTTATAAATATACATTTTTGTAAATCATACTTTATTCTTTCATCAAATAATGCGAGATGTACACAGGAAGTAGTATTCGTTGGTTCGTAGTTCATTTTCTTTTCTTTTTTCCTGATTAAATATTCTCCACAAATGCGAAAAAACATATGCAAGTTATTTCTATGTTTATTCTCCATGTTTCTGTAATTATACATATAACGAGAATAGAGATAATTACAATTTATGCTCCATTAAAATATCAGCTTCCAACTGAATATTAAATGACGCTTCGTTGCGTGAGCATATCAAGTTTTCAAACGCATTGTCCACAAAAACTACGAAGCGTCCACACAAAGAACGCTGTCGACACCTACGCCGCTATTTGACTGTTATAGACAAAGTACGACAAATTCTGGGAAAAGTCAAAATAATGAGAATTATTACTATAAATTTAAAAACCTTAAAAATACATTATTAAGGAGTATGATCTGCCGTGGCACGCACCCTACCGGCGTAACCTCCAATTCACACATACAAAAATAGGCGTTGCTAGTCTGTGTCTATAGTACGTTTGTAAACAAAACCACAGCTTTGTGACTTTCACTGTAAAAATCCAGGCAGTCTGATTGCTCCATGCAAAGTAAATGAACTTTTGATATCATAGCCGCGTATCACAAAATACACCAATTTCTAAAGAAGTTGGTGGTTTTACACAATATTTTATTTAATTAATTTGTATACATATATATTTTAATATTACTAATATTAATAATACAGTTTTTCGAATAATGCTGGT